CGCCCAACAGTTTCTTTGCGGAGGCCTAGTAGCAACAAAACACAGAATTGAAACCTGAAAGGTTGCGTTGGTGCCTGGTGTTGCAACGATGCCTGCCGCCGCCTCTAGACAGTATTTCCTGATTGAATCAGTGAATATGAACTTACAGAAATCTCCAGGAGCCAGCAGTTATTCTAAATGTCAGTTAGGTGGCATTACCCTGGGGATACTGTGGCTGAGATTGGAGAGGGGAGCTGGAAGGAAGGAAAGGGTTGGTGTTAGGGATTTTGGTAGGCATTGGTTTCTGTGCTTATGGGCCAGCATGGAGGGAGATGTCCCATGTTTGTCTGAAAGGCTGGTAAAAGGGAGCTTACACTGAGCAGGGCCTGTGTTGAGACTCCTGGAGTCTGACTCTTCCTTCAACTGGAGTTACAGAAAGTTGCTGTACAGTAAAGAGCAGGTCTACCGTTTTTAAAGCGTATATTGAGTCAGCAGTTCTGCCTCAAGACAGTGTAAAGAAATGATAGGATTAAACTGTAACCAAAGAGAGGGGAAGTAAAATTCTCCTTAATCCTAAGATTTAGTTTTTCAGCTGTACACAAAGATCATCCTGAGCTCTTAAAGGTATATGATTGTGTTTTACTTGCAGGTTCACTTATGTATTTAAATGAGGCCACTCTCCTTCACAACATCAAAGTTCGGTACAGTAAGGACAGAATTTACGTAAGTATTATGTGACGTGACAACCAGTTTAATGATAGATCTCCTTTCAAAAAATCATCAAACCAAAGGTTTCCAATTCTGTTTTTTCCTAAAACAGAAACTAAACCAAAATGGTAACACTGGAAGTTTAGGAGGTTTTAGTACTTTTTTTTAATTTTACATTGTTTGAGATCTGCCTCACATTAATCATATTAATGTTAGCTGATTTTTACCAGACAGAGCAATAGATTTTTCTCTATGTGACTGTTCGTGTGCAACCATAGCACGGTGTCGGATCATAGAAGTCTGTTCCTGCAGGTAACTTGCTTCACCAGTAGAGTGGCTGTTAACAAAGCTGGTTTTCTTTCTTCATTATTTTTGAACGAAGCAAACAGGTGCCGTCTTTGACACCTCCTAGCTCAGATGTCCATCTTAATCTTTTATATTGCTATCAGATTGCCTAATTGTACTTAATGAATTCTGACTAAATTACATTTTGTCCTTGCCATCTGCCTGGACACTGACAGCTGTGAAACAGAAGAAAGATAAGGGTTTTCTTTCTTTTTATTTTTTTTCTAATAGAAAGCTGGCTAGTGATAATACAATACAGTTCTACGTATTTCCTAAGTGTCTGTGTTAAAATAAGCAACTTTTGTGTTAGTATACTGTTGTAAAATTAGTTAAATGCTTTTATAAAAATATAAAAAGAAAGTGTAGTTTTTTTCCTTTGTTGCAGTTAACTTTACACAGCTATAAATTCTTTGTGGTTCAAGATCAAGGACCAGCTTTAAAATAAATAAATAGAAATGGCCATTTGAATCCTGTTCTGGAAAAACAGTAATTAAAAAACCAACCCAAAGAACCTCCAGGGAAGTAAAATTCTAAAACCAAACTGGTTCTGAAGTGGGGTAGTATTTAGGTTCATAAAGCCTTTCTTTATTGTAAACAAATACTACTAATATGTTGTCCTGAGCAGGTGTATTTTCTAGAGGAAAAACAAACAAACCGACCAACCAAGGTTCAATTTATCTTTTAAGTACTTTTCCCTTGTAACTTTAAGAGAGTTTGAATCAACAACTGGTTTTGCTTTTTGTTTAATGCTGGTTAACAGTTTTTGTCTTGTCACTAAAATGAAAACTAATGTTAGTACTTGCAGCTCTCGGAGAACTCTGTGCATATGTCTTCCTTCAGTGAAATAAGTCTTGAAAATAGAAACGTCTAAGAAAATTCATATATAGTGTGTGATCCAGCCTTCTATCAATATATCACGATAGTGTGTATATTTCAGTTGTTTAGGAATATGCTTAGTAGCAACAAACGAAATAAGTTATTCAAACTGAAGGTTTATTTAGTTTTCTTCAGACCTTTTCCTGCAAATCTCCTTTTTTCTGTGATTCAGACCCCTGTTCTTCCTTGTATGTAATCTGGCTGTTACAACCAAGCTATGAAAGTTTTTTTTTTTTCAGAAGCCTTAAAAAAAACTTCAGTCTTCCTTATCCTATGGAAAGGTAAAAAGCAGTCTTGGTTTGAGATTCCTCTCGAATTTCTTCTCTATTAGAGAACATTTGCATTCTGCATTTCTCACTGTGGAAGCAGCCATAGCTAATTTCTCTCGGCTGAATGCTTTTAAAAAGATATTGAAAAATTATCCTCCTCACTGGAGGAGAGTGCGTCATGCTAGCCAGGAGCTTAGCTCATTCACATTTGAGGAGGAGGTTGCAGCGCTCTGTCCTTGATCCAGTAACTCGGACAATAGGAAATAATTTAAAAGGAGATTGGGAGAAAGGTCAAATTCAGGACATCCCCCACAGCTCAGTGGTTAGGAAACTCTCCCGAGAAGTGCTTTTTCATAGGAGTCCTGAGAAGATAATTAGAGGGACACTGAAAATATATCCGTTCTCGTATCTGCCTTGGCTGGAGAGCATTGTAAATGTAATTGTTACACTTACTCTATAGTCTTCAATAGTAAGAGAAAATTGCTGTTAACTGCTTGGTTGGATACTAGCTAATAGTTTGCTGTTAATTGTTTTCTTCACAGACCTACGTAGCCAACATTCTTATTGCAGTGAATCCATATTTTGATATACCTAAGTTTTATTCTTCAGATACTATTAAAAAGTACCAGGGTAGATCACTTGGAACATTGCCACCACATGTTTTTGCTATTGGTATGTATTGAGCCCGTATTTGTCTTTTACAAAACAAACATTAAGTCCTTTGCAGTTATCCATAGATTGCCACCTGTAAAAGTAATTAATTTACTTTAAACACTGCTTGCTGAAATTGCAAATCTTCCCACCCTTGATAGGCCGTTTGAAGAAAATGGAAATTAGCAACCCTATTGTTGTTGTTCTGTACCGTTTTATGTCTAAGTGGTTTAAGTATAATTTACAACCATTAAAAAAAAAAGACAAAAAAGAAATTCAGATTTTCAAAGTGAAGAATGCCATAATTATGACTGGCATTGTCTTTCAGTGTAGTGATTTTCTTTGCCTTTTATTATGTTGCCAGAGCACACGCACTGTTTCTTTTTATATGCTTGTGTTACAGGCAGAAAGTGCATTTAAATGTTACTAATGTGATAAACCTGATTTCAGGGAAAAATAATTGGAAACTACAAATTAGCATTTGACTTGTTAAAAGCCTTCTCACCGTGTTGCCTTTTGTTTTGTAATCAAAAGTATAAATAGCTGGGGGTTTGGGACATGTTGCATGCAGGGAAAACTATCCCCGTTTTCCAAGATTCCTTGTGTCAGATATTACTTGTTACAAAGGGCACCTGAAAGTTTCCTTTTAAAGGACACATTAAAGTAAGATTGGTTACAAGCTTGTGAATACGTTTAGCTCAAGAACTTTAATTCTAGGTGGTGTTTTTTGGTTTATTTTGTCCTGGATGTAGTTGACTAGGGCTTTATTTCCAAAAAAATTTTCCTGAAAATGTTGCATTTTAATTTTTTTTAGGTAGCTTAACTTTATGTTTGCAACCGTCCTGAATATTATTTTTTGTCATGTTTAATGTATTCTTCTTTTGAAGCTGATAAGGCATTCCGTGACATGAAAGTGCTCAAGATGAGTCAGTCCATCATAGTCTCTGGAGAATCGGGAGCTGGCAAGACAGAAAACACTAAATTTGTTTTGAGGTTTGTGCTTCTGGACCAAAGTTATTAACTGAATTTTTTTGCATTGATGCATTTGGTTGGCGCACAGACAGAGCAAACTGTAAAGTAATTAGTAGGTTTAAGTCACAATTCAGTAAGAGACTTATGCATATGCTTTTAACACAAGAAATTCATAGGGTTAAACTTAAATGCTGACATGATAACATACAGAAAAGGCTGTGTATTCATGGAAACCTTAACTTGGTTGTAGTGACATCATGTAGTAGTTATGGTTTATGACGCAGTCATTTTGGTATTGCACATCTGGTATTGTGGTAGGTAGAAATGTAACTAGGCACTTTAACTGTATCTTGCAGGACACTGTCAGTTTTGCCATAAATGTGCATTTCTGTGTTCTCCTTGCCTTTGTTTCTTTAGTTTGCTAAAGCATCCAGTGTTTTTAACTCCTGATTTTTGAGATTACTGTAGAGATTCTGTAATATACTTTACCCCAATTTACTGAATGAGATTGATTAATGTGATTTATTTATGTATGGATGTTCATGTATGATCGATACTAAAGCAACCATATTAAACTGCATGGTGGCCATGTTGCTGATATATATCAGCCTTGCTTCCTCTTGCATGATTTTAATGTTTTTGACCATATTTGCTTTATATTTTACCTGCTTTATATCACTTTGGAACACTGTGTAACTAGAGTGCGCTGCTCCATTAAATTCACCTATATCATAGGTGGCCTGATTATCCAGGGAAGCACAGTGCAGGCAGTGTGAATGTGCTCCCTTCCCCACCTTGTCCTTGTTTCCCAGTATAAACCTTTAATTCCCTTTTCCCTGACATCATGTATTCTCTAGTATGTATGCACAGTAGCGGTATTATCTTCCACATCCCGCGAGTAATTGTCACGGCTGTCTGTCCTTCACGCTGCTCTTCTCTGCCCCTGTGCAACCTTTAACAGGTAGCTGTAAGAATTACTGCAAGGTGCTGGTAATGGTTTTTACAGGGGGCATCTAAACTTTGATCCTGCTAAGAGTAAAAAAAGAGCACAGGCACTGGGAGAATGTCTCCTGAGGAATGCTCTCAAAGGAGGTTATTCTTCCGCTTCTCAGCAAAGGAAGTTCTGATTACATGGCAGGCAAATATCACTGCTGCTGCTTCTCCCCACCACCCGCCCCCACAGAGTCCGTGCACAAAACATCATTGAGTTTTAAAAGCAGGAAGGTTTTACCCTTGTGTGATCAGAAAGCAAAAGGTACTAATACTGTTAGCACTCCTAAACTTTTTTTGGAAAGCCTCATTTCTGAGAGCTGTTTTTAACTCGTCCCAGATTTACTCCTGGATTTCCAGAAAGCGTGCCCTGTGCACAGGAGGGGCTAAAAAAAAAAAGCAAGCGGCAACTTTGGAGAAAGTATGTTATGGATTTATTTTCAAATTTTTTCCTCAATTGGTAAATTGCATCTTACCTAGATTATGCACCTGCAATTTCCCATCTCACCGTCTCCACGTGGGATTTTTATTAACAGTGATAGTTATGAACAGAGAAGCTGTATGCATGGAACCAGTATTTAATTCAGGAAATATGTATGAAACCTTATGCGTTTGCTAAGATTATTAATAAATACAGACAGTACAGTGATAGCTTCATCATTTGTTTAAAAGTGTAATTTCCACATGCGTGTCTAGGAGAAATTTCTAGTGTATCTTGAAGTATTGAAAAAAAATCTGAAGTCTGCAAGAATATTTTTGTTTTAACAAAAAAGAAAAGTCACACTGTATTTATTTTAAAAGATACACGTATCTGGAACTTGTAATCAGTTTTCTTTCCCTTTGGTAAATGGTCAGTAAGTATGGTGCACAAACATGCTAAGTCCTGTTGAATTGAGGTAACCTGACACATGAAAGAGACTGATATTTTGATCTTGCTTTACAGGTATTTGACAGAATCCTATGGTACTGGCCAAGATATTGATGATAGAATTGTAGAAGGTACTAAATTTTCTTTAATTGAATTAAAGGTTCCAATAGGGTTTTTTTTTTCCCCCCCTCAAATTTGAAACATCAATCAACACTAACTAAATAAAAGCTAGGATAGAAATACTATCAGATTTCCTAGGGCATCATTTACTGATAGTTTACCTTGATCCTAAATTCTGAAAACATATTTTTTATTTGTCGTTCGCTTTATTTTTATTTAATGTAGTGTCATATAGTCTTTGATCTAGAAAATGTTTAAGTGTGTGTTTGAGTTGAACCTCACAAATGTGTACCCAAGATCGGATTTTATGCTGTGTGAAATCTGCAAGGACAAGATTATGTTCTCATTGCTACCTGTTAGTACCAGGGAAGAGTAATTCCTCCTCCTCACCATAAAGTTCTTGAAGTCAGATAAAGCATGGAAGTTCTTTAAAATTATGGTTTTGGGTCATTTTCCTGTTATGTCTTTTTTTTTTTTTTGTCAGAAAGCACATAATTCGGATTAACACTTCCATTGTGTCTATAATAGACTCTCAAACAAGGTCAGAAGAGACTGTATTGATCATCCAGTTGAGCCTCTTTAATGTTGCATGCACTTCCTAATTGAACAGAAAATAACTTTTTGAGAAAATATAAATATCTCACAACCAAACAACCCTCAGCCAATCTAATATGTCAGGTTTAGTCTTCTGTAGCATATAGTAGATTTAGTTTGGAATTTCATTACTCTGTCTTTTTCTTAAACCAAAAATGTCTGTTTTTTCTTTGCTTTAAATGTTCTGTTTTCAAATTCGAGCCACTGGATTATTCAAGAGAACTACTACAGGCTTTAATCTCTTGTTGCTGTAGGTTTGCTTAGTGAAATCCACTGTGTGCTAAAGGAACTCAGAAAGTGGCCAGGAGTTGGATAATGCCTGACGCAGTATGCGATAAAATTAATTGGTACTTGTAGGTATTAGAAAAGTTTGGGGTTTTTAATATAAAACAGCAGCTGATGCATGAATTTTGAAGTTTTTTAGGCACAATTTTAATGAGCACGCTTACAGCATATGTATTAGTAGAGGAACCGTTAACCTGTCTGAAAGGCCTCTTGCAGTTTATTTTCATTCATAATCTTTTCTTCAGAACTGTTAATATTATGTAAAACACCTGAATAGTTACCAAAGATCTCTTAAGAAGTCAGTTTTGCAAGTCAGATTTGCATTTTCGTAAGCTTTAAGTATAAAAAAAAATTAAAACCTAGCCAAACCAAAAAAGTTAGTGCTGATGATGTCCTACTAAAATTGTACATTATCATCCATAACTTATCCAATCATTGTAGTTATTCCTTCATTCTTTAATTTTTGTATGAGCAGATTTGTAGATGGTTGTCAGTGGAGGTTTAAATCGGAGTTTCTGCTCACTTGGTTTCCAGTGCGTACTTTTTTAGCTAAAAGCCTTAAAAAATCTTGCTGATATTTTCAATGGTTTATTGTTAGCATGATTTAGTAAATCGTTTTTCTTTGATCTTCAGTGCTAGTAAATGTAGTCTTTCAGAGGCTTGGTGTTTCATAACTACTAAGTGTTTTCAAACTGCTTAAACTGTGCATGATGTGGATATATATACATATATGCTTTAGATTGCTGCTACTCTTTCTGTTTGAGCTTTAAGGCATTTGAAAATGGCAGCCAGTAAAAAATAAAATCACTCAGTCACTTAATTGACCTAATTTGAAAGGGCATTTTTAAAGTTGTTTTTGAAATTGACACACTCTTCTAATACGATTTTTTTATTCCCTAATCAATCTAACATGTTGCACGCATGACATTTAAGTGGCGCTTTTGTCTGTGGGATAAGTGGGTAGTTTAGATTTTATGAATAACAACTCATTGGGAGGTATCAAATTGTGCGTTGTCTCGTGTAGTTTATCAGTTATTTGCCTACATGCTGTAGAAGAACATCACTGAATAATTTCTGATGTTTGTCTCTGAATTTCTTACAGTATCAATTCAAATACTTTGCAATGTTATGTGATATTTAAGTACTTCATTGTAAGTTCCACCACAGTGTATCCAGTACAATTTGCAAAATTGATTATTCCTAATAGGTAATATTTCTCCTTTAACTTTCAAACCTTATTCCCAAGAATTTTTTTGAATAATTAGTATGTATTTGTTCTCTCTTTCTTTTTGGTAGTTTGTTGATTGAATTTTAACATTTTACAAATTTTTTTAAACAGCAAATCCCCTATTAGAAGCCTTTGGAAATGCAAAGACTGTTCGCAACAACAACAGCAGTCGTTTTGGGAAATTTGTAGAAATTCACTTCAATGAAAAGGTACTGGAATTTTGATGATGATTTTGTTGGCATAAAACACTAGTGCTAGAATGGAAGTAGGCTGAATAGAGTTATTTATCTTGCACCAAGTAGCTACTGTCCTGCTTTGCAGATACGATTTGTATTCTATCACCTTGAAAGGAAAACCAAAGCCATGCAGTACTGTGTCACTACTGGAAAATGGCGGGTCAAGTCAGTAGGAAAATTGCTTCCATCCGTAACAACGTAAAAATTGTTCCCGTCATTGCAGAAAAAGGCAAAAAGGCATATCTAAAGAATGATTTCCTTGCTGTTCAGTACTTATGCATTCCTTTAATGCACAAATAAGTATGAGTTGCATATTAAATGTAAACAGATATAAATGTATTTTAATGCTTTAATACTTTAAATGAATTATTGATGTTTTTATGTATTTGTGTGAAATTTTGGGACCTCACATCAGTGTTGTGTATGTGATGGGAGTCATGGAATGTTTTTTTGTCAGAAGTACTATTCCCTGTGTAACTTATGAAAAATTTTCTTTGTTTGGGTGTAGTTTTGCTTGGATAGCGTATGTATACACACATTCCACAATGAAGGATGACTGTATAGCTGCCCAGCCTGTCGAAGTTGAAGACCTTTGTTGACAATCCCTGTAGAGATTATGTATATGCCTCCTCATCTTTCTGACTGAGGATGTAAAGAAACAAATTCCTGCAGTTCCTGCCTGGGGAGTTTAAGCTCATCATCTGTTGTTCAGCTTGTGGTCTTTTCCTAAGTTTTCATCCCTTGGTTTTGTAACTAGACTTCAGATCTTTGGTTAATAGTTTAGATAGTAAATAACTAAATTCCATTAAGGGGAGAGGGACTTTATCTGTTAGTCCAGTTCATGTTAATAAATTTATGGAAAGGACCCAAATTTCTACTTGGAATGATGCATTCATGACCTGTCAACTTATCTGTCAACACTTACATGGTGTTTCAAATTAATTGCTTCAGCTGAAGCAAATAGCGCTCAGAGTGTTTTCAGAATCTGCTTAAAAGCCTGTTTCAGCTTTCTAGGGCAAGGTCAGCCTGGTTACTTGAGCCCTTTTTTTACCAGACTTCATAATTCACAAGACTTCACTTCGTGGTGACCTTATTAGGTCTGATTTCTTAAAGGAATATAAGTACAGCCTGGGGCCTCCTGAATGAGTGAATGCCTGCATAACCATAGTCAAATTTGTCAGTCAGTGAGTCCTCCTTAATTGCTGTAATGGCCATAAGATCAGAAATTTTCTTGCTATTAAGATTTGTCTAGGCACAGGGAATTTTATCATAGGCCAGCTTCATGCCTTTCGAAATCTGTGTCAGACTTCCATCTCAGAAAAGAAGTGCAAGTGTTTGAAATAAAATCTTCACTCGTAATTAGCCTGCCTAAGATGTTGTCCAAACACCTTTAATTTTCTTTAATATTCTTTAATTTTCACTCTTTCTTCTCCTTTGCAAGACTGTCAGTGAAATGCAACTAGAGAAGGTTGTAATAGCATGGTAATGGCACTGCCATCCAAACAGCGTGAGGGTGGCTGTAGCAATGCTCTTTGCAGGGACTACTGGAATTCTACCAAGGATTTCTGCTTGCTGGTGTGAAGCAGTCCCTTCTTGTAAGAGGGATGTATGCATATGCAATACGTGAGCCAGAGGGAGAATTTATGGTAAAGGCAATGGTTTCTTTTCTAAGCTTAGTATGTATTAGGTACAGATACATTTTAATCTTCTTTTGCAGCAGTGTGAGTTGAGCGAGCCATGCTCAGACAAATGTAAATTGAAAACTTCTGAACCTCAAATAAACCAAAAAATACTCAGATAATCAGAAAAATATTTCTTCCTCCTAGAACTCGGTGGTTGGTGGATTTGTATCACACTACCTTCTGGAGAAATCTAGGATCTGTGTGCAAGGCAAAGAAGAGAGGAATTATCATATCTTTTACAGGCTTTGTGCTGGTGCTCCAGAAGACATTAGGGAAAAACTCTATCTAAGCTCTCCTGACAACTTTAGGGTGAGTATCAGAGTCGGTGTTTGTAAAGCTTCTCAATTGCCATTCATGGATTTTTCCTACAGATCTTATTAAAATCTCTATTTATTATTGTTGACAGACTCTTTCTTGTTACAAAAATCAGAAGATTTTTTTGTTAAATCTATTTTATCCTGAAATAAAGCTCCCTGCTGTTTTTCCGTATTGGAAGATTTCCTGTACTTTTTCCTCTGTGCCTTAAAATTGAGGAATCTTTGCTTTTTCCAAAAATGTACTGTTGCATACCCAGCTGCTAGTAATGTTGTCATGGGCTCTTGTAGACACATATATTGTGAATTTCTTGGTTGTGGTCTAACTGTTCTGTGGGTAACCCATCTTTTAAGTCCTGAAAACTGCATTTATTTCTTCCTATTCCAGCCATGTGTTTAGGAAGACATAGGAGTTGTCCCATGATGCTTTCTCTTAAATTATTCTTCCCTTACGCTTCCCACCAAGAATCAGACCACGGTGACAAGGTTGTTGTGCTTCTCTGTTCCAGTCCGTGTGCTTTCACATCACTTGCCTTTTCTACTCTGTTGCGCTTTGTTCCTATCGTACTACACTCATTTGCGCTGCTCCAGTTTTGAGCCTTTCCCGTTCTCATTGTGCTCTTCTGTCATTCTTGGTCACTCCAGGTTACATGATAAGACTCACCAGTCCCTTTCAGCTGAAAGCTCACCCTTTTGTCTCCAATTGACCCGAAGTGCATGTGCAGTGCTTCCTGCCAAGATTACTTCTATTCATGAAGCATGATCCTTCCTCTTAGGTTTTTCTTCACCTAATTTATTCTTTCCTTGAGGACTACTTACTATTTCTGAGTTTTGGCTATCTTTCCACAATCTGTTACTGGTCCAGTCAGTCAAGTAATGGAGAAGCCAATACAATGCAAATAAAATCAGTGCTGATAACTATACCTAAATGAAAGTGAACTTAAAATAAACAGTGGGGAAATAAGACTTGAATCATTGTGCTTACTTCTGTAAAAATGTTAGGTTAATGTCCAGTGGCAGGGAAAAAGCAGAGTAGAATTTTAGGAGTTGTTAGGAAGGGAAAGGAGAATGAAATAGTGAGTTATGCTGCAGTGTACATCTGTATTTGTAAATGGCATACACAGTTTTCTCATCCCAGCTCAGAAAGGAACAGTAAAATCCTTGGGTGAAGCAGAGGTCATGGTTGAAGACAAGCTCTTAGTATGGGCCTTTTAATTCAGTCCAGTGTGCCTGTTCTTATGCCTGCTGATTTGTTTACTGCCTTCCCTTCTTCTCCCCATGCTTTATTTTTAGGGGTTTTGCCCTTTTCTGAGACTCTGTGGTTTCTCCTGACTAACCCTGATTCTGTGTTATGTTTCTAGTAGCAATCCCACAAACAGGCTGGCTTTCTGTCCTACCATTAGGTTCTTGCATTCTTTTCCTCCCAAACCTTACACTGAACGGTTTTACTACTTCAGTTTTACTTTTAACTTTTTCCTCCAGCTTTCCTTCTTTCTCCTCACCTTCTCTGTGTTCAGATTTCACTGATTTGTTTTCAGAAATGATCGACAAATACGGTGACATTTCATTTTGCTTTCTTTCCTTTCTTGTCAGTCAAAATTTTTTCTCTATTTTGTTTTCTGTTTACCTGAGTGACAGCAACCCCATTTCCCTTATTTTTAAATTCTCTTAATTTCTCTGTGTAAACTCACGATTATTCCAGTAATTTTTTTTTCTTGAGAAACTAACATTATTATTTGCATGCAGCTTTACTGGTACAACTGTTTCTCATTGTCTTCCCAAATGTCTGTTCTCTTTCTCTTCAAAGCAAGCTTTTGCCATACCTTTCAAGGTGCTTCTAAGCCTATTCACTTCTTATACTGTCATCACCAATTTTACTAGTAAGGTGAAGACTTGTCTTCAATCATTCTTTCCTGCTATTTAATTACATATAAATATATCGGTAGGTTTTTGTTTTGTTGCTCTTTTCCTTTTGACAATCACAATTGAACTGTAAATATCTACAAGTATCACCATGTGCTTTGTTGACTTGCATTGAGAAGAAGAATATTGGCAAATCAAATCCTGCTGGTAAATACTGGTCAGTTGTTTGCTTGTGTTCTGACATTTGTCTCTGTCTCTCCACTGTCTCTTGGCTTATGCCTAGCTTAGAATCTCACAGAGGCAGAATTTTGTGTATTTCTAAAATACACAGACCAAATCTCTGCTGTGGGTTTGGAAGGGTTTTGTAACACAGCCCTGGAGGGCATGTGCAATTACAAGGATATAAATTAATTGATTGTCATCTTTTTAGACTTCCTTGATCTTAAACAGGGTGAGAAGCACTGCTAACAAAGAATTACATTACTGTGATGATTGTTTTCTTTGTTGGTGTATCTTCCTACGTGGTTTTCTAAGTAAAACTTGGACTGTACTTGTCTGTTAGTGTCCCCAAAATCTATTGTACTCGGTTTCATGGGAATTCAGCAGAGAGCTAGAAGCCTTAAAAAAACCAAAGCTCCGACTAGTTTTGTGCAAAGCGGTGGTTGTATAGGTGACACCTAAAGTAGTGCACTCACTGTAGGGAAGGTGGGTGTACGCTGGTGACCGAACAGGTTGTGGCTGCCTTTTGGTGTGGCCAAGTCAACCTCTGTTTACTGCTGAGCCAGGAAGCGGGCACAGAGCTGTAGTGCCATATTGTGCCCATCATACATTTGTACTGTGGTATCTAGGTGATTTTGCTCCCTAAGAGCCATGGCAATATTTTAGGACAAGTTTTCTTACTTCCTTAGAGGCGTTCCTAGGGGCCTTTGTAGACCTTATATTATTTCTTTAAATATTTAATTTGTATCTTCCTATAGTTCATCTGTTTGTACTCACTTGTGCGATAGAAACTTGATCTGATGCGTGTTAAGAAGGAACTGCTTGGTGCTGTAGGAGAACTTTTCTTTTGAAACACTCATCAGACACAATACTGAAAAAAATCCCAACTGCATTTATTTTCATATAATAATAATACTTTTCAAAACTTTCTTCTTTACTGTGCAGTTATTCTGTGCAATATCCTCTTGTATGTTTTAAAGCTAAAATCTTGAAAACAAAATTCAAATACATGATTTTATTGTACAGCCACTTTTCCATTAAAACTTATTTCTTGTAACTAATAGATTTTTTAATTCTGGAACTGAATATGCTGCGTGCCCACTCTTGGGGGATGTTTTTTTTTTTTAATCAAAAACTCTGCTCATGACAGCACAAAAGGTTGTAGTAGTCAAGGGCAGAATTATAACCTGCTTAAAATCAGGCTGGTGCAGTACAGTACTGAACAGCCTGAGTGCCTTTACAGAAGGTACTCGCTTGCCTGTTTCAATTATGAAGAGTTTACAGTCACACCAGCCTTATCACACCATGACATAGTTTTTTGACTACTTCAGAGTTTGCACCAGGTACTTTAATTTCCATTAAGAACATTTATTGCTTTACCGTAAGTTAGTATTTGAATCCTGAGTTCCTTCCTGCATGTGAAGGATCCACTCTGCAAGTTAAATTTAAAAATTTTAACACTTCTGAAATATTTTCTTTTTCCCCTTCTGAAGTTAAAGTAGATAATCTTTAATTAAAAACCAAAAGCCTTAGGATCATTTTCATCTTTGTATATAAATTAATATAAATTTACTTAAAATTTATTAGTCATATTGCACCAAATTTTCATGGATTATCACTTTATAGGAAGTGTTTCGAAAAAACCCAAACCTGTAAAAGGTTAATTTTCTTCCTAAATTTGTATTACTTTTGTCAAGATTATTTTTTCTGTGTTATTCATTCTCATTTGCTGCTTCAGGTTTTATCATAACATGGCTCTGCATAATCATGCTTGTGTCACTTTTTTACTACTTTTTTGTTGACTGCATGTCTGGTTCAAATTTCATGGAAATGCCGTCTTTCAAGCTTCTGATAATAGACGGTGATATTATATTAGGCAAGGTTTGATGATTAATCAGTGTTTTGATATTAATGCTAATTTTCTAGACAAGAAAAACATTCAGGAAAAAACCATACTCTTAAATTGGTTATTTAGAAAAACCTATGCCTGAAGTCGCAGTTTTACGTTGGCTTTGTTGTGCCACTTGTCTTGCGCCTTTCAGTTTATCAAGTCATAGTCCAGATTAGGGCCAGCTTGGGTCCTAGCACTCAAACATGTTTGGCTCAATGCCTGGTTTCTCTTGATTACACCCATTTGACAATAGGATCGTCTCAAATCCAAGGTAATTCTCATTTTTAACAAAAGTGAAACAATTTTAAAAGGTGAAGGATAATTTTGTGCTTTTTTTTCCCCCGCTAGGCTTGCTTCCCCTTGACTTAAGTGATCCCATGTAATCTCCTCCCCATGCATTTCTCCATCGTGGCATAGGTGCACAGTTGCTTGGGGGATGTGAACCAAACCGACTGCGCTGGCTGCACCTGCCTGACCCATCATTGGGATTTTCGCAGCGCTGATGGGGGTTCCCTCTCCGTTAGTTCATCCTTCCCCTGCAGTTCCTCTGGGGAAGTGTGAATTTACTTGGCAAAGGGCTATGAAAATCTGCAGGTTTCTTACACAGCCTTCCTCCAAGCACACCCCCACAAAAGCGTGCAGTCCTGGGTGCCTGCGCTTTAGGTTCCCCTGCAGAAGTTTTCAGAAATTCAAACTCATTGGGTAACCCTGTGCTGAACCATTGTAGGTCTAGGTGCCTTGGGCTGCACTGCATGGCTTCGCAAGTAAAGCTGCATAGTACATCTGTACCTGGAGCATAGCTGATGGAGATGAGGAGATGGATTTTTTTCAGATCTTAATTTCTGGAAGAGAAATCAGATTACCTTATGTTTGGGTCACTGATGTTCTAATGGGGTCTTGTACTTCAAAGTTGGCAAAAAAAAAAAAAAGGTACAATGGTGTTTAGATGTTATATATGAGAACCTCGAGCTGTGTGTTTGCGTGCTTTAAAAATATAATTTCTCGTAGGTTTAATAGGTAAATTTACTTGAGTTTTTAGTTTTCACATGAAAGCCATTACCTTGTGATGAAGTGTCTCCTACATAATGTTGCTACTGAATACCATGCTGGTTCACATTCTCAGCTGGTCAGATCATTTTTCACACTCTCTTCTTGAAAAGTATGACCTTTTTCACTTCCCATCCCCAGTTTCTGGGCTCGTGTTACTGATACTGTAATAGAGGGATATGTTGTTGTGTTTAAAATACGCTGTGCTTTGCATTCTTATTGGCTGATAAAGAAAACTTTTCCATATTTTGTTAAACACCAAGCTAACTTTGAACAGTGTTTCTTGTCACTTTAATATTGACAAGCTAACTTTGAACAGTGTTTCTTGTCACTTTGTTTTAATATTGTATTTGTCACCTAGTTTTCTCCTGCTGTTAGAAATACTTTGAAGAATATTTTGGTTTTTAGAATTTTGTATATAAATTTTAATCAAAGTATAGAATTATCTGTGATCACCTAGTTGAAAACATCTTCTTTGTTTGTGGGCTAGAGCAAAGAATCAGTTCACTTCCTTCAGACAAAGGGCTCTGTCCAAGCTTTTGGGCAGAGTTCTTACTTACAGCTGAACAAATCAGAAAGAAAAAGCTGGCCATCCCATTTAGCTGGAAGTGTCAGTCATTGTCTGAATGCCTGGTCTATTCCCTTTACTGTACGACATGAGATGGATATCAGAAGCCAGATTCTGAATAAGGCTTCTGCTTGAACCATGTTATAAGCTTTTTAATACTCTTCAAGCTTTTTAACATGCTATGTCTTTTACTACCTGTAGAAATATTTAATTGGTGAGGAAAAAATGACCATAAAACTACACTGGACTTAGTACCAGAAGTTCTTTGATCTTACCCCTCTCACCCCCAGATACACTGTATAAAGCCTATATATTGCTGAAAACATACAGATGACTGGTTGTGATTTTTTTTTTTTTTTTTTTTTTTTTTTTTTTTTTTTTTTCTGATGTTCTATCCAGCTTGCTGGAGTAAAGTTTGGTGTTACACATAGGCGAGAAAATTTATTTTCTTGGTTTCTAATTTTGATTGTCTGTTCCGTAATCCCAGACTCCATTAATAGGTTTAATAGAGTCAAACGTTAAGAAAATATTGTGGGACTTAGCAAAATGAATATCCCACTGTGTCAAAAAGTATTTCAGTTGTCAAAACCAAAAAGCTTTCAATAGACATTTGTTACTGTTGCACTTCTGTAATTTACATCTGCAAATGTAAATAAATACATTTTCAGGGAATTAATTCTGAATACCTAGCATGTTGTTGGTATCGTATGATTAAATCAAGCTAGCCTTAAATAAAAGCATATGTTTTCCTTACTTCTGTTGTTAAGTATGCATTTCCTCTTTTTTATTGTTGCAGTATTTAAATCGAGGCTGCACCAGATACTTTGCTAACAAAGAAACAGACAAGCAGATTCTGCAGAATCGCAAGAGTCCTGAGGTAGGTTTGTATCCTCAGTTAGTTTATATTAACTAACGCAGATAGAGTTGAAAATGATGATTGCTGTTCTACAGTGTGGAATGAAATGTTCATTTTACACATCTTTATAGGTCTGAATGGGTACTGTCAAAGCTGCTATATTCAGAACTCTGCTTTTGGAGTTCACTCTAGAAATACATTTTAAGATACATCTTAAAATCCCAAATGGAACAGTTTTACAAACTGTTTCCTTTTCATTCTTATAATAATGTAACACTTAATGCTGCAGCTTGTCTTCTGTGGAAAACAAAAATCTATCCAAGACTTTTTGTAATTTCCTTTTTAAATCTTACTACTGCTAGGAGTAGGTCAAAAGCAGTAGTTTTTTTCCAGAGCCATTTTTACAGTCTGGATTTTTGAAGTGATGCTCCAAACTGTTTTATAAAACATTAATGCAGCCTCACTTCCAGCACGAGCATATCCGCTCCCCGGTACACTGCATTCTTTACTGGTTTTTGTTTTCCCCTTGCTATGAACTGTTACGGCAGAGCATGGCATTTCCTGGAAGAAAGTGTGAAACTTCAAAGCATTTCTTTCCTCTTGCTCCATCTCCATTTACATTTTTTAAAAACTGGAATTACCAGAATTTGTAGCATTTAAGCCTTTGAGCTTGTTTGCATGAGGAGACTAAAGACTTTAATCTGAATTAACAATATATGTGAATTAGAAGTTGTTTAAACGCTACATTAAACTTCTACTGTGCTCTCCAATACACTTTTCATCTATTCACACCTAAAGTATGAATTTTTCATTTGTATAGCTGGAAGATATTTCAGATCTTAATGAAATATGTACTTGGGATTCAGTGGCAGGGCAAGCTGCATATACGTGTGGAATAATACAAAGATTAAGTTTACTCAAGAGCTTCTCTCCCCCCATGACCATGCCATCTCTTTCACCTTTGGAGAACTGGGGCTTGAGCTTGTACGTGGCTCCTGCCTAGCTGTGATAGACAGCTTAGATACTTGCTTTGCTCGGGTCACCGTTGTCAAGTCTGCTTCTGGATTTCTAGTATTTATATGTTGTGACACTGAGCACGTAGTGCCAGTTTCTTTTGCTTGAATGTAGGCTCTTTCCTATAATTGGGGGTGGCCGGAGGGTGGGATACAGAAATGCTGATTTGATATTAGTGGGGGGCAGAAAGGTGGTAGATACTTAATTCTTGTCAAGCATATAGGCTAAGAGATGGGGAGATTTTGCCTCAGTTTACCTAATTTGCTTTTAATTAAGACTTGTAGTGAAGTTGGTAATTTATTCTTACTACTGGAAGATAAACCCATGCAATCTTCTGTTACTGATGTGATTTACAGGTACTTGTACTTGTTCTGTCATAAAATGTGTCCTCTAAAGGGCTTAGCTCAGGCAAATGCTTATTTCAAACTAAGACATACTGAAAGAATAATTCTGAAAATATGTATTGGACATTAAATAGTGGAACATATGATGCCATAATACTCGTATGTTACAGCCTTGTCAACTTGAAGGTGCAATAAATGATCACATTTCAATGATATGAAAACCTAGTCTAGCCACCTAAACAGGAAATATATTGCATTGTTCATTTTTTTTAAATGAGAAATCTAATATTTGCTCTGTCATTTTTTAAAAAAAATATTAAGATTGTTTATTTTAATAACAGTAGCTGGAATAGTAAATTAATACTTAAATTATTTTTGTGTTTTCCTTATCAGGAAGATGAGGTGATCATTTTACATAATTAAGATGGGGTTTAATTTTATTGATGTGTCTAAATGCTGTGTGAAGTGAATTTTTCAGCTGCATGTGGTGTTCTGTTTTGATAAAAATCATGCTAGCTTGTTTGACCCTAACAAGGCTTCTATTTAATTATCCTTTTTAGTTGAAAACGTTTTAAATTGTAAAATCTTAGATCAGTCTGTGCATGTTCAGTTAGTCTCTTGATTGCATGCTGATGTGTTACTGTCTACTACTTAAACCCATTAATAATTAAAATGGCTTTTCGTGTATTTAAATTAGGAAAAACAGCAAAATGTTAATTCGGTATTTTAAAATGTAGCTGGTATTCTTTTAACCTGTAGAACACTGTGAACGGTTTTACTGTTTCTTAGTCACCAGCAAACTTTAACAAGTGTATTTCTCTAAATAAGTCTGCTTGGGATAGGGATAACTCTTCCAATTCTGATTTGTCCTGTACTCCCTTCCCATCCTAGCTAGGGGCTAGAAGCACTCCTTGGTGTAAATGGTTTGAGAGCTTCCTTAACCAAAATCTTCCTTTCCCTTGCTCCCTGTGCTGCATTTCCCTGTCCTTAGCTGTCACACTCTCTAATTTCTGCTTTCTGGAGATAGTTTGAAGTTTGTTTTGAAGCTGAAGTTTGAAGATCATGCTTCACAGTATAAACAAATTAAAACAAATTAGGGTTCTTGCAAAGCCTGTGCTGTATGAAGAGCTCTAATCTCTTCCTACTTAGTTTGGCATGCATTTTTATGCTTTTTGTTCTGGTTTATTCATGACTGGAAATAATTGCTTACATTTACTTTAAAACCACTTACTGAATTTTTTTGGTGTGTCTTGTCGTTTTGTAGTATCTCAAAGCAGGTTCCTTGAAGGATCCGCTCTTAGATGATCACGGCGATTTTAACAGAATGTGCACAGCAATGAAAAAGATTGGACTGGATGATGCAGAAAAACTTGATCTTTTTCGAGTAGTGGCTGGTGTCCTTCACCTTGGAAATATTGATTTTGAGGAAGCTGGGAGCACTTCAGGTTAGATACAGCGTAAATTGTTTTCCACAAAAACACTGACAATGCCTCTTGATTACAGATGATTCCTTTCCATGTGAATTATTACTTTAGAAAGCTGCCTTGTGTTCAAGGGTAATTCAGTCTTAATTCACACCATTTTGAAGTCAAGTTTACCTGTTTGTTTTAAAGTTGCACTTCTTTGCATGCTCGGAAAGCAAATAGGCTCTCACTGAAATTGTTCAAGAACTTCTTCAGTGCAAAGAACCTCAGACGGTGAGGAAAGTCAGTGTTTAGAGAAGGGAAGGAGGACACCAGAAAATTTATTTTCTCTGAATGTTATTCAAACCCATAAATGATTAGACTTCCATTGCAACTACAGGCTTTATTCTGCACTCACCCTGTAGGTGTGCACGCAGGGTGTTCATTTGAACCGCTTCAGGCACTATGTCTCTACCAGAGACCCTCTAAATTTTTGTTGCTGCTTCAAAAAAGTGGGGAACGCCAAACAAAAGCTTTTTACTACAGGTCAGATGGTGTTTCAGAGCTTCCAAAACTAAGTCATGAAAGGCTTAATCTTTTAAGGACTCCCTTCTCCCTTTTTTTTCTTTTTTGGTCAGTGTAGATTTAAGTCATTCAGGGAGTGTTTGACTAGGTATTTATCCCTTTTGGTCTCTTCATTTACCTGTCCAAATGAATTTTACTGAGAACAACGGGAAATAAATGTAAACCTGGCACACGTAGCTGTTGAAGTGTTAGGTTTTGCCAAAGTGTTTGAGTGCTTTGTTGAAGGATTTACGAACCTGTAGCGGCTGGACGAGCTCTGGCCGTGGTGCAGAGCAGGAGGAAGCACGGCTCTCGGCTGTTTACCTGGGAAAATGTACACACCCTTATCTGAAAATGCAAGTGCCAGGGGTCTGCCGTGCCAGGCACTTCTGATCTGCGCACGCTTAGCAAGGAAGTCTGGAGGATTACAGGAACGTGCAAACACAGAAGTTTTTTAATCACTACAGTTAGTTTTTGGTATTAGCACTTACACATCTTGGGATAGTTCTTTCACTTAAAAGCAGGTTAGCTTTTGAACAACCCGCATTTAGAACTATGTTCTAGAAATACAGAATTTCATGCATAGTTTTTTTGGGTGGGGTTTTTTTTGTGTTTTGGGGGGCTTTTTTGTTGGTTTTTTTTTTTTCTTTTTGAGAGGTGACTCTTCACATTTCATATGTGAAGTAATTTCCAGGGGCAAACTCCAATTCCCTCAAAGCTGATGTTACTTCTAGTCGTGATGGCAAGGTCATCATCGCCAGTCCAGCATTCACATTCACACACCACCCCCCTC